ATCTAATCTGACAGATCAAGTCTGCTCTGATTTGGCCTGTGACAGGCTTGGTCCGCCAATGGCTTGGCCTGCTACAGACTTGGTCCGGCACACAAACACAAAGTTCTTATCCGCAGACCAAGTCTGCAGGCCAAATCTTCTGGTGTAGGACGCTAATAAGCAAATTTAATTGTAGAATAGGACTGCAGAAAAACCACCTTATGATATTAAAAATTCTTTATTTAAAACTATTTAAATAAAAATAATTCTACAATGGGCTATAAAATATAAAATAACACAATATTAATCACAAAAATAGTATATTGTTTTATTAGGAATAAAAAATGACACTTTTCGTGGCGAGGCTGTACGTTTACATACAGTAAGGAGGCACAAAAGTAATTTTTACTCCGAATAGAACATGCTATTTTTTTCCAAACGCCACAAATAATTTTTAAACAATTTCAAACGTTCCAAAATGATATAAAAAGATTTAAAAGTAATACCTTGTATATAATTATATATCGAGAAACTATGGTTACCCTCCTTGAATTTGACACTTTATGTCAGTTTAATAATATATTTTCGCACTTGTATGCTTGGGCGTAAAAGTGTTTTACTTTTATATCTAGGCAGTAAAATTACTTTTTACATTGTCAATCACGTCGCAAAAACTAATACTTTTGTGACGTGTGAAAAAATAGTATATTGTTTTATTAGGAATAAAATGACACTTTTGTATGGCGAGGCTGAACGTTTACATACAGGCGAGGCACAAAAAGTCATTTTTACTCTGAATAGAACATGCTATTTTAGAAACGCTACAGATAATTTTTAAACAATTTCAAACGTTCCAAATAATATAAAAAGATTTGATGTGTATAATTATATTGTAATACCTTGTATATAATTATATATCGAGAAACTATGGTTACGCTCTGTTGAATTTGACACTTTATGTCAGTTTAATAATATATTTTCGCACTGCTTGGGCATAAAAAGTGCTTTAATTTTATGCCTAGGCAGTAAAATTACTTTTTATATTGTCAGTCACGTTGTAAAACTAATACTTTTTGACGTTTGAAAAAAAATATATTTTTACAGAATTACAAAATATTATTGTCCCTTAAATAATACTAACTTATTATAACTAGACCGTATACTTCTACTTTTGTCAAACAGACTTTGTTATAATGATGAATTCGCACAGTTGCATATATAGAAGAAATTAATTCTATTAGGTTGTTAAAGTGGCTAGTAAAATATTTTGTTCTCTAAAGTGGTTATTAAGTGATTCAAATAAGTTTTTTTTACCAATTATTATTTTAAAACTCTAATATTTATTTTTTAATATCGATAACAGTTTCTGAACCGTTAAAAAATATCTGAAGAATTTTTTCTGTTGTTAAACAAATATACATAACATCTTCAGATGGATAAAAGAGGTACTGTCCTTTGTCTCTTTGATTAATAAAGGACGTTATTAAATTATACCTGTCACCTGAAAGTGAATAGACACATTCCTCGCATTTTAAAATTTTACCTATTTTTTAACCACAAAGCCAGCAATGTATGTTATGGCCTCTTTTTAAATTCTGATATATTTATATTTATGTTTAAAGCATTGTGAAATATTTCATCGTCCTCAACTTCAATTACTTCTTCGGTTACTTCTGAAATGCGTTCTTTACCACATGTTTTATTAATTACCTCAGAAGGAGTTAAAATTGGAATTGCTTCCAACGGAATGCAATTCCCTTTAAATGAATCTCTCAATTCAAGATGGACCATCATTTTTATACGCCGATTTAAATTGTTTTGTTGATGGATTGTTGTTGTAACCACCCAGAGATCTAATCTGCCCAAAAAATAATTCAATGTGATCTTGACTTATTTTGTAGGTAGGGAAATACAACAGTAAATTATTCTCATAAATTAGATTTTTATAAAGAAATTGAAGGCTTTCTATATTAAATAAGAACCCTACAAATCCCATTTTTCTGCCGCTTTCGCACAATAGTTTGCCATCCATTAATCTTAATGATTTTAAATAATCTAATAATTCACACAAAAAGAATTTATTTTTTCAAAGTTTTGCATACTGATTGGTTTTTGAAATCAAGTTGGTGCAAATTTCTACTGTTTAATATATCAAATAAGTTGTTTATATAGCGTATGAATTTTACTGTGGGTTCAGAATCTTTAAACTGTTCAAGTTTTAAAATTTCATTGCAATATTCCAAAGAATGTGCTACTGATTGGCTAAATAGTTGGGTGGCTAATTTAACCTTCATTTTTGGTTGCTATAAAATATATGTGATTTTCGCATTTTATTAGCCAAGTGCAAACCCTCTTCATCCTGAAGTTTACACAACTCTGTTAAAAATCCCATTTTATTGTTCCACCGTTGTCATCTATAATAACTTTTTTTTCACCCAATGTATTCCTAATTAACTTTACCATATGACATGGATCAAAAAAAACTGCAATTCTTCTCCCAGAGTTAGGGTCAACAAATGTTGAATTAATATTTTTATAATCAAAATTACAACCCAGTTGTTTAGCCAAAGTAATATTGTTACTTAGCCCCATCAAAAAGTGATAGACACCAAGTGGATAATTGATTCATTTAGTAATTTTAGGCACTGTATTAGTAAATTATGTTTCTGTAAACCATTTAATGAGTCAATTAAGAAGTATCCCAGAGGAAGCTTCCAAGATTCGTTGACACCAACTAGCATAAATACCAGTGCTTCTTTTGCTACTGGATTAGAGTCAGTTTCTAGCTGAATACCATAATCTACAAATCCGTAGTATCGAACTCCATCAAATTCTACATGTTGGCGAATTGCCATTTCATCTATTACTAAACTACATATAATTGTGCGATTGGCATGTTCTACCTTTTTTTTAATAATTGAAACACCTCTAATGTAAAACCAGCTTCCCCATTTACATTTTTATACCATCTCGATATTGTTTTAGGATGGGGAAGAGCTGAATTAAAAGTGTTCCTGACAAAATTATAAGCTTTTACAGAATAAAAATGTAACGTAAGGGGAAAAAGCTTTTAAATTATTTCCATATTTGTGCTTCTTAGTTATTTGCCTCTGTAAAATTCTTCGTTAGGACCTATTTGTGCTAAAGTTTCCAAAGTTTCGGGAGTTACCTTACCACATAATGATTTGATGACATCAGAAAGAGTGGCTGACTTCTTTTGTAATGCTGGAGACTGGCTCTAAGACGTTTAATTTTTCTTCGAGCTGTGACTAGCTTCTTTGTCAATTTCATTTCTCGTGGCGTAGTATCCTGAAAAGTATATTGATGTTTAGTAAACAATATTACTAGCAAAGCGTAAGAAAATAATATTTATGAACTAATAATTATTGCCGTAGTTTAAAAACATGGTAAGCATTATGTCAAATATTCATATGGATTGCCTTTTATGCAAACCGACAAAATATAAAATAAATTCTGTTAATATGTTAAATCAACAAAAAATGCTTACAGACATTCAGGTAGGGATGTAAAATGGTAATTTATTTTTTGTGACATGACATTGTCATTTATGTGTCATTTACGGTCATTTATGGTCATTTACCTTAAATGTAAAAAAATCGCTAGGGAAGTAAAGATAAAGATATATTAACAAATACAAACAAACTTAAACAAAAATCAGTCTTAGTGGTTCTACGTTCACTAAATAAGCTTAAAGGCATAGCTTAGGTATACTTTTAAAATATAAAATAATAATATTTAAAAAAAATGAAACAAAACACAGCTATATCACACTGAGTAACTAAGGTCCATTTGTTTTCAAAGAAAAATGGAATAAAGAGATATATATCATAAATTTAAGTCATAAATTTAGGTGAACAAAAAAATAAATGACAAGAGTGTCATAAAAATAAATGACAAGAGTGTCATAAAAATAATGACAAGAGTAACATATAAAAATAAATGACGTGACCGTCATTTTCATTATGACCGTTACATGACAATGTCAGAAAAATTTGGGGGTTTTCAAAGAAAAAATGAAATAAAGAGATATATATCATAAATTTACGTCATAAATTTAGGTGAACAAAGAAATAAATGACAAGAGTGTCATAAAAATAAATGACAAGAGTGTCATAAAAATAAATGACAAGAGTGTCATAAAAATAAATGACAAGAGTGTCATAAAAATAAATGACGTGACCGTCATTTTCATTATGACCGTTACATGACAATGTCAGAAAAATTTGGGGGTTTTCAAAGAAAAAATGAAATAAAGAGATATATATCATAAATTTACGTCATAAATTTAGGTGAACAAAGAAATAAATGACAAGAGTGTCATAAAAATAAATGACGTGACCGTCATTTTCATTTTGACCGTAACATGACAATGTCAGAAAAATTTGGGGTATTTAGTTTTTATAATTTGCTCACATCCCTACATACAGGCAAAGTTTTCTTCTTATAGCAATTGTACTTGTTATTAAAATATACAGTTAAACTTTTTTAGTGTAATACACTCGTATGTGTCAAAAACAGTTCTTTATCAACAATGTTTTCTTATTTAGTTCATCCAGGTATTCTGCATATTAGAAGCAAAGCTTTTTATTACATATCTTTATTTATACTTGAATAGCATATGTGCTAAAGTATATTTTAATTCCTCTGTAAACTTACACTGACATTTTTCTAAAACATCATATGCCTAAAATAATCAGCTTCTGAGATATAATTATACAATACAATTGAAAAATGGTGTCAAAGTTAGCTTGGATATGAAGACCACTGTTATTTTATATAAAAAATTATACGAAGAATGTCATCGATCATCATTTCCAAGTTCACTTTCGCCATTTCCTTTCTTGATTATACAGTAGTACTGTATTACAGTTGAGGGTTTGGTTGATTATTTTGCAGTACTGTATGTTCAAACGGTTTTCGATCCAGCATACTTTGATATTGATAGTTCAAAATGGTTTTCATGATATAGACCAATTCCCAATATATTCCCCTTAAGATCTCTAATTCAAATTACATTTGTAACCAGACTTACCGCAATATCCTTTGGCAATGGATGAAAGTGGTGAAGTCATATTTTCTAAAGGTTCAGTGCTACTGGATGGTCTATATGGTAGTTCTAGATTGTCCTTAAAAACACCTGTGCTAGTAGACGGCAGAGAACTACAATCCATTACAGAGACACTCTGTATTGTATTTGCATGTTCAGAACAAAAGGAATCAGTGGTCTTTCTAGATAGGTCACATTCACTTGCAGCACGACATGAAGTGTTACTTGTAATCTATAAAAAAGTAATAAATATTCTTAAAATGTATAAAAATTGATCAAAAATAAAATGTAGTGGTCACGTAACCACTACTTTCAAAAAATTTTCATTTCGCTTATTTAAATCTTAAAATATAATATAGTAAAATATAATAATAAAGTATTGTGACAAAGGCTAAATTATAAAAAATATATATTTTATAATGAACTAGCAGTTTTTTTTAAATTCCCTGTTTATTAATATTTCATATTACTTTGAAACATAAAATATTCTAAATTAGCACTTACCAATATAGGTATAGCAGTTTTCTTTAAATGTAATGAAAAGGGTGATTTTTCATTATCAAATGAATCTTCTTTAAAATGCAAATGACACACGTGAGAATATTTAAAAATATCATCTTTGTTTAAATCCAAAGCTGCTCTCCAAGACTCCCACATCTCATTATTTTTAGGAAATCTAAAATAAATCAGGTATAGGTTAGATATGCAGTAAAAGCTAAAGTAAAAGGCTAGATAAGATAGTAAGTAAAATCTAGATTAGATATACAGACATTAATAACTAAAATAATTTCTAATTTATTATACTGTTTCGTGTCAATAACATCTGAAATAAAAGTGAGAATGAACTCCATATATTTATAAGGAAATTATTCTTTAATCTAGAAAACTGTAACTGATTTTCCTGCAATTATCAATTTGGATTCCATTAATTTAATAAAAATTGAAAACGTACTAAATGCTGTCCTGTACAAAGTTAAAACAGAAAACAACATGGCTACTTTAAATTATCAAATTTCATATTACTTACCGAAATAAATGCACATCAGTCTTATCCCGATAGTAATTGGCACTTTTATTATAAATACAGTTTTTTTACAACACACCTAGGCATTTTTAAACAATAGTAAGTCCAAATTAAACACAAACAAAGCCACTAGAACGACTGTAAACACACAGCTGACACAACGAAATGGCAGAAAATAGAGTCGGTTGACAGCTCATCGGCCCCAGTCGGCGCGTTATTCAAATAAATGTTATTCATTGGTCCGAGCGCTTGGAATCCTGGAGTGGGAAACTGGCAGGATGCGCAGTGGTCTTTGCTACATCTTTAACTTCATAAATCTATGGGTAAAAAGCGTTCGTTAAATTTTCGAAGGAGATCCGCCGGTATTTCCGGTGTTCATTCGGACCGCACGGTATTATTAGAGATAATAGATGGGAGTTTTAGCATAATATAGATTGAGAACATGCAAGTATTTAGACAGAAATAATGGTGAAGATCATTCATCATTATCAGATCATTTATGTTCAGTGTTTTCGGTATGAGAGCTTGAATTCCTCCAATATATCTAGGTCAATATGACATTATTTCTCAACTGGGATTGTTTCAAAAAAAGATTCTGGTCTGATTCAAGGGTGAATGTAGAACAGGCGGAATTCGTTATTTACTGACCATTTCAGGTATTATCAAATGCTCATTTTCTTCATTTGGTTGCAGAATTATTTTAGATGAGTTTTACAACAAGTAGATGTAGATTTAGATTGCATGAGGAGGGAAGTTAACCACCGCAACCGTATAGATCTATTGTGTCCCCCTTTTTTGAGTTATAACATTATACAGTCTCAGGGCTTTGACAACAGCCAGTATCTCAGACGGTTTTACAGAGGTTAGTTCTCCTCCTACGATATCAGTCGTACCAAAGTTTATGGTACGTTGTTTTCTCGGTCGTAAGTCCTGAGGTATCTCTTCGGGTGTCTAGACCATTGGAGGCTTTCCATTTTAGGTTATGGATGTAATCTTCCAGGTTCTTCAGTCCCGCTTTAAGTTGATTTCCACTTGGAAGCAGAACGGTCCTGGCCCAATTAATGGAGTGTTCGCTCCTTTTCTAGTTAAATCGTTTATTTTTCCATTACCTTCAATCCCTTAGTGAATTGGCACCTAAAGTAGGAGGATTTTATTTTCTTTTCCTAATTATCTATAACAAGTAGATAGTCTCTTCATTGGGACTACCATATAGAGTATCAGAATATCAGTTCTTATCAATATTACTGAACAGAAACACTTAATGCACTTAGGGGTTAAATATCACTTACTGACATAAAGATCCCACCTATTCTTTTTTAACAGGACACTGCCCCCTTAGAACACCTAAGTAGATTGGAGCTAAGAAATAACCGCGAATGCAGATTCTGTGAGGAAAATGAAGTCTTGAAAAAGAAGATAATAATGAATTGGATTTAGATATTACTAATCTGTTTTAGAAAGTTAATATGTTATTGATAGCTTAGAATCAAAAATGTGTTCAATTAATTATAATACTTTTATATTTTAAATAGTATTTGCTGCTTTATTTTTCAATTACCTCTAGCATGTGTCGCTACTTTCCATAAATAAAAGCATTTAATCATTTTCATCGTCACGTCATCAAAATTTTATAATTTCTTGACAGGAAATCTTGGTACTGACTTAAAATTTCTTCTCTTGAAATCTAGAATTATTTGATTTCAAGACAAGACCTTATCATTTTCAAGAACCTGGCGATCTCTAGGAAGTTGGGAATAGCACGTTTAATGTCAACATCAATAATATGTCTTTAATGTTTGATTCACTCTCAATGAAATCGTTAGTAATTGTTCTTTTACCCACTGATTTTTCCTCAACGTTATTATGCCATATATTTCCTTATATGTATACAAATAAATTTGAGATCATTTTTCGTTGTTTGAAACTACAGGAAAAAACTGCACCTTATTTCAGTTGGTGATGTAATTATTTTCTAATTTGCTAACCGTTACATTTTATTGTGAGTCCCCAAAATTAAGAATTTGAAAGTTAAAACTGTGTTTTTTTTTCTCCATTATATACAGGGATTCACGGAAAGAAAGGATTAATCGCCACATTATTTAACTAAAACCAGTTTAGTTTACTTTTGGTTTTAAGTGTATTTTGCAACAATAATAATTGTAATAATCCGATCTCTTCTTTGTAATACCAATAGGGATTCTCTATCAGTTCATAATGTAACGTAAACTTACATCATACTAGTTGCATTAGTAAAAAATAATCAAAGTAATTATCATAAAATATAGATTTTCTGTTGTAACAATTTGTAGATTGAAATAGTTTTTCTCTCAAATATTTATCCCTTCCTAGAAATTGCCTTCCCGAAAATATCTATCGAAATATCAGTTCATATTGGGTTACATACTACAAAATGTTCACCAAATGCGTCTAGAATCAAAACTTAAAGCATAGTTTTTCAAAGGTTTTTGTATAGGCTTAGTTCATTTCAACGGATTTTTCGAGAAATCACAAGGGTTCGACTAAATTTATTTCACACCGTTACCATTCATGTTGAACGCATTAAAATGATACTGAAATCGTCGATGAATACCGAAGGCGGTCATTATTTTAAATAATATTTCTTATATACAGGGTGTTTCAAAACAAATGCGAAAAACTTTAGGGGGTGATTCCTTGTTCAAAATAAAGGGTAGTTTGCTTTATAAACGTTGGGTCAAAAGTCAACCATTAGGGAGATATTGCGGTACAAAGATGGCGGAAAAATAATGTTTTTATTTTTTATCTTGAAAACGAAAAGAGATAGACTAATGAAATTATATGGAAGCATTACTGTTATAAAAACACACTTTCAGGTAATTTTTTTACTTTTTTAAAATGAGTGGAAGGGGTTGAAATAAACTACCCCTATCATTCTTGTTAACGAAATTTAAAGAAAAATCTTATCAAACACATGCAAATGCTTTAATTTGGATAGTTTAGTTTGTTTAGAAAATTTTTTACCTCTTGTGTTTTTTTGATAAAACTCACCGATTGGAAATTAAAAAATAAAATGTAAAGCATTACATGTCAGGATAAAAAACATTTTTAGATTAAGAATCTAGTGATAATAACGATAATAATAATCATCAAGATAATAACGTATTGCAGTAGAGTAATGTGAAATAAAATAATATTAGGAACATCCTAAAAAGTAACAGCGGCCGACTAGATTTTTTCCTAAAAAAATTACAACAGCCCACTAGATTCTTTATCAGAAAATGTTTTTTGTCCTGACATGTAATGCTTTACATTTTATTTTTTAATTGCCAATCGGTGAGTTTTATCAAAAAAACACAAGAGGTAAAAAATTTTCTAAACAAACTAAACTATCCAAATTAAAGCATTTGCATGTGTTTGATAAGATTTTTCTTTAAATTTCGTTAACAAGAATGATAGGGGTAGTTTATTTCAACCCCTTCCACTCATTTTAAAAAAGTGAAAAAATTACCAGAAAGTGTGTTTTCATAACAGTAATGCTTCCATAAAATTTTATTAGTCTATCTCTTTTCGTTTTCATGATAAAAAATAAAAACATTATTTTTCCGCCATCTTTGTACCGCAATATCTCCCTAATGGTTGACTTTTGACCTAACGTTTATGAAGCAAACTACCCTTTATTTTGAACAAGGAATCACCCCCTGAAGTTTTTCGCATTTGTTTTGAAACACCCTGTATATACCTATGCGAAAATTTCAAAAATATCAAATCAATTTTATTTTTTCAACGTTTTTCCATGTAAATGAGACATAATCTTTATACAAATTAAAAATTTTAAAAGAAAAACAATAAAAAAATATAAAATTACGCAACCATTTTATAGATAACCACTGCACTGTTGTCAAGCTCGGTCTACTACCGTTTTAATCGAGCTTTCTCATAAAAAATTAGACGATCCGGTCTATAAAAATTCGACAAATTTGCAAGTAGCCAATGAATTGAATTTACGGAATATGTTTCGCGGTGACATATTCGTCAAGTCCATGAGGACTCTCTGCTGCGTGTATACAGGTAGCGATCTATAAAATACATATTGCTGTTTATTTAAATGTATTTTTTAGTAAATTGATCGTACTCCAATATTGAGTCTGCATTCTTGAAATTCATTCCATATGCATAGATCCAGTAGACGTACTGTACTATTTTTGGTTTTAATCAGAGTGAGTGAACGATAGAGTAAAGTCCATTATCTCATTTGTTTCGAGGTTTACAAAAAAATATTAAATATAAAAGTTATAGAGATGGTTAAGATACACATTTTGAAACTATTATACCGTATACAGGGTGCTTTAAAAAAGTGTGGCGAATATAACATATGTTTTTTTTAAATACAACACCCTATTTTTTATTCTATTTTTAGATTCTGCGTAAAATTCCATAACTTTTTTATATATAATGTTATATACCTAAAATTAATAGTTTTTGTTATATTTAAATTTGTTTAAACAAATGTTAGGTTGCAGTGTGATAAAAAATTGTCAATGATGACATTGATTCTAACGTTGGACAACTGAAATTTGGTAGGAGAATTTTATAGATATATTAAAAAAGACCTATGTTAAGATATTTTAGTTTGATGTTACAGGGTGCTCAAAATATATTTATGAATTTCAGCTATTTAAAATTAAGAAATTTCAATTTTTTTAAATGGTATACCCTATATATTATCATTTTTTCTGGTAGATTTTACAAAACTCTTCCACTTTTATTAAGTATGTCATATACTTATTTTTATTAGTTTGCGATTTATTCCAATTTTTTCTATTTTTACCCATATTTTTAATACAATTGCGCTATAACATCATAGATGCCATGACAAAAAGTAATAAT